CTGGGAGAAATCCCGTGTGTGTGTGTGTGTGTGTGTGTGTGTGTGTGTGTGTGTGTGCGCGCGCGCGCGCAAGACGCCCTGGGAGAAATCCCGCAGTTACCTTTACTTGTTTACTGAGCAAGGGTAAAATCTAAACAGCGCTTTCCACAATCAATGAAAGGATCGCCTCAGGTTCCAGAGTTGAGCTCCCTAAATGAGTCTGGCATTCTGATAACTGAAGGTTAGCACCTGCGATCAACTTCTTCCCACTGCTTGATGCTGGCAGGAGATAGGGAGGCATCTTGTTCCTGAGCTCTGTGAGGGTAGAGGTGGGAGGGGGATTTAATTGTCTGCCTGGGTGAATGGAAATGTACTTTTAAAGCTAAGGAATCGAGAGATATTGGCCTTTAATTGGTAAAGTCCGCTGGTGGGAGGGGAGCGGTAATTAAAATGGAGAGTGGATAAAATATAAATTGGATACCTGCCCCCACTTTCCCCCATGAACAGCCCTATGATTGCTTTCTCTTCTTCTCTGGCAGGCTCCAGAAGTCTCCGCGCCCAGCCTGAGTGTAGGTAACTGTCATGCTTCATGCATTCTTCCCACCTTGGCCTAACACCTCAACTATCCAGTTTGGAGTGGGGAGTATAGTTTCATCTAGAACTCCTTTCTCCTCCAAGATCTGATATCCCAGGTCCTAACATCGTTGTATTGAGCGGGCCTTGGAATACAGTTGTCCAGAGCCTCCCCTGAAATCCCTAAATGGAAGATGCTGAGTCAGCTGGCAAACTCACAGGATTAGAAACGGGAACATGACGGTCCAGAGAACTTGTAGGTTGAAAAGAAAAGGGGACCTTCATGCCCAGCCTGAATCCCAGGTGTCAGGGGGGCCAGTGCTCAGTCCACACCTTGTCCCCAGGGCCTGGCGCGATCGATGTCAGTCATCATTTGCATGCGCACCCATGTGCACCTATGCTCAAAGGGGAGCTGGTGCTCTTCTCCCAGGCTGCAGGCCTTCTGAATGCTGCGCTGCACCCTCCCTCAATGATGGAAGCAGGCCAGTCCACCTGGGCCAGCGTCTCTCTGTTCAGGGGCAAACCTCAGAGGCAGGTGTTTATCCAGACCTGCATTTGTACGTTTGGGGAATGAGTGCTGTGGGGGCCGGGGCCTCGCTGCCCTTGCAGCTGGAGCCCCGCAGTGGGCGGAGCATCCCCACAAGCTGTCACCTGTACTGTCAGGCCACCAGGTGCGGGTCAGTGGAAGGTCAGAGGCAAGAGTCTCTCAGGACAGCCCTGGTCCCTGATCCAGAGTCCCCAGTAAGGAATAAGGCTGACAGGCTGCATCTCAAGAAATAATTTGGCTATGTGGATGGTTTAAGCCCATCTGTCAGGTCACTGTTTCTGCTCCTGACATTTTTCTCTTCTCTCACATTTTCTCTTTCCAATCACTCTGCAAGAGCCATCTAGCTGCCGATTCTCTCCATGTCTCCTCCCATCCGGCATTAGCCAGCTGCTCCAAGCCGCTTCCATGGGGTGTAATCTGACTAAAACTCTGGCCAGCTTTGAGAGACCATGATCTCAGGGGAATCCTAACTGTGTTGCTCCAAAGAGAAATAAGAATCCAGCCTTATCCCAGACATCATGCACCCTAATCTGCCCTAGGACAGGGAGTGGGGTCTCATCCGTCCTTCCAAGAAGCCTCCAGCCTCACTCTGCTCTGTTTCTTTCTAGCCTTCAACTTTTCCCTCTACTAACGACAGCTCACTTTGAAAACACAGGGGGTTCTGACAGAGACGGTAGAATGAAGGGCAACGTTTTGCCAAGAAATGGACGTTTTTTCTGATTAGAGGGTGAATTTTCTCAGCCAGCAAGTCATTGAAGTTACAACTTCTTTGTGTGTAGGAACAGCTCAGTTTAATGTAGTTCAGAATCACAGACTAAATTAAAAATATGTAGTGAAATTGGTTTGTTTTATTTTTAATTTCTGAAATTGGGTTTTAGAAGATAAGACAAGCAGAAAGTTTAGCACAAGTTCATGTATTTCTACCAGAGTGTACACATGTTGATATTCTGATTTCTTTGCTAAAGAGACTCTGGCCTCCTTGCAGAGAATCCTCTGACCCAGGTCCTACCCTGGCTGACACGTCCCCTCATTCCTTCACAGAAAATGGCATTTCATCATCTGCCCTCCTTAGTCCTCCAGCCACCTACTTCATGACTTAGCTTCTTCCAGGCCCTCTCCTCTAAACACTTCTCAGTAATATTTTCTTCTTTTAAATAATTCACTTTTAATATTCATGTCTTCAAATTAAATTAAAAACTGCACGTTATTCTTTACATGAGCAATAATTCCCCCATGAAAATCCATTGTATAATTATGTCTGCTTCATGTAAAAAGAAGCAATAATGAATTGAGATCATATTTCTAATTAAATAGCAAGTCAAAATTCATACAACAGGCAATACTCTTTTTATTTGCTAGGGTCATTACTAGCCCTGGTCCAAAACCATTCCTGTTTATTCTTGAACCATTTGTGGTTTTTTTCCCAAATAAATTAAACAATGGAAAAGCTGATTTACCTATGAAAAAGTCTATCCCTGAGCTATTTAAGCAAGCAAAAGTGGAACTGTTTAGGCAAGTGGAATTTAAAAGTAGCAAACAACTCTCATTCCAGAGTTCTACTGTGCAAAATACTCCAGTATTTTCCCTGACACATACAAGTTTGTGATGCTGAAATTATCTCTCTCAGTTAATTTGATGTGTTCAAGTTAAATAAATACGGCATTGCTGGCATGGTCTCCTGACATCACAGGGATTTTTGCTGCCTCTGATTAGCCTCAAGAGGGAGGTGAACCCCAGGCACTTGCCCTAATAAGAATGTGAAACCTCTAGTTTTGCATGAATGAATGCAACTTAATTTGTGTTGCTTTTTTCATCATTCCCTGACAGTAGAATACCCCACCTTCTTTTGAGAGAGAGGAGTGTATAAAGGGTAAGTAAGTCAATGCTTTTTAATGGGGACCTGGTGGGGAGGGGGCGCATGTGGGAGTGACATCTGATCAGCTTACGTCCTGTTGGCAGTGAGTTGGGAGCTCTGAGGAAAAGCTACTAATGTGAAAAATAAGCACACTGTTAGAAGATGTGCTTGTAAAACAATCCTGTCCTCTCTACCTGTGCATGAGAGGGACTTTGATGGCAGCTTCTCTGGCAGAGGACATACAAAGAATTTGGAATGAGCCCCAAGTGTGCAGGGGTTGAGGGGGAGGAGAGAATAGGAATCACCTCCAGTCTGGCAAAAGGGACCACGATGGAATGACAGCTTGTAAAATAAGCCTCCATCAGTCTCCCAGGAGACAGCCAGCCTCCACTTGGGTGTTCCCCGCTTGTTAGCCTCAGTTATAATTGGCCTCTCCTCCCATCCCACGTTGTTGGTTTTCTGTGTGTGGCTTTTGGTTTGAGTGTGTTAGGTCATCAACAGATACAATGGTGGGAGGGGGTGAGGGGGAACACACATGATTGTTTTAAAGAAGAAAAGAGAAAAAGGGTAAGAGTGGGCAGAAAGACTGTGAGCAGAATGGGAAGATGTTCAGGATTTAGGCTTCCAAGGCACCCCCTGGAGTGCTTGGGGGTGGGGTGCTCCTGGGAATTTTGTCAAAGGGGGAAACCCACCAGGATCTGGGTACCCCACTGAGCACCACTGGGGACATGAATTTATCCCATGCAATTTTTGTTTGCTTGTCTCTAGAGGTGCCCGTGCCATCCTGCCCATATCCAGTGCATCTCTTCAAAAAGGACTTTTCCCCCAAATCCCAATCATTGTGGCATGCCCTATAAAGGATGTGAGTCTGGGCTGGAAGGCCTAGCGTGCAGCCCCCGCTGCCAGGAACACAGGCACGTTCCAGACAGCCTTTCTCCATTCACTTTAAAAATAATTTCTCTCACTCTTCTCAAGATCTTTTTCTCCATTCTTCGAGTCTTTGTTTCTCCCCTTTCAGAGGAAACACAGTACTGAGAGTAAAGGGTAAAGGGTACGAAAATTGCTATCTGAAGTCTGCTGTCAAGCTTTGCAGTCAGGAATGTTGTAGACACAACCCATTGTTTTGCTCAGAAGGGGCATATGAGGTCCTGAGACCCTTAGATATTTATTTACTGTAAAAAGAACATTTGACAGTGGAAGTAGCAAGAATGGAATTGAATTGAGTTGCAAACTTTTGGGGAGTTTTTTCTTGCAATTTTATTTTTGTTTTTTACATTTCACTTCACCAACACTTAGCTGGCCAGGGTTGCCATGGTACTGTGGCCAGTGCTGATTCCACAGCGTCCCTGACCCAGCAAAGTCATAGGAGGTCTGAAATACTGCTCTTCTACCACAGCCTGGGAGGCAAATTGGGGCTGGTGGTGCTAAGGTGTGTGTATGGGGGTCTGTTCTGCGCAGCTGGACTTGATGCCTACACTTCAGTGGGCATTAGCCAGCACCTGCTGTTCTGCAAGCCAGGGCCTTGGTGGGTGGTAGAGAAGGTTCCCTTTCGCAGGGTGCAGTCACAGCCAGGAAGGCCCCTGCTGCTTTCTCCCGAACGTTCTGATCTACATTTCCCAAAATATTTTGTTGTGGTGATCCTCAGCCCCCACTCCTGAATCCAAGAGGATCTCTAGACTTGCGTGGAGAGATGAGCTGCCCGCGAGAAAACCAGTTACTCCGATGTACCCCCACCTACCTTCTTAAGCAAACACCTCCCTCTCTCCCGTATTAAGCCTTATCTCTTGCTTCTCACCGCCCCACCCCCACATTAAAAGGCCCCCAAAGCACTGAGGACTGGCTTCTCTTTATAAAGCCGAGAGAAGGCAAGCGATAAAGATCAGGGGTTTAAATTGGCCATTTGGAAGATTACATCTCTTCAGCGAGGGTCTTTCTTTCAAAACTCGCACTGAATTAAGGGCCGCGGCTACTCCGCACCAGGCTCTCAAAGCCCGGCACCTTTTCATTTGGCCGTGGAGTGGGCTGGGCGAGGTGACCGGGCGCCATCAAAGGCTCGAGGGAAGGCCGCGGGGCGACACTCGTCTAATAACAAGTAATTGACGTATTCTAGGCCGCGCATTACCAGCGGAACTGGAAGTCATTAATTATTTAAAAACGATTAGCCTAGCGTGTGTCCTGCAGGCGTTCCATCCTGTTCCGAGAAGATAACCAGCCAGGCGGGCCGGACCTGGGCTTGGAGGGCGGCCGGCCTGCTCTCCAGCCGGCTTCGGGTGGGGTGGACAAAGCGCGTGGCTCCAGGGAAGGAGGGGAAGCTGGGCCCACGATCCCCACACACAGAGAAGTCCACATAACCGACCCTGCCGATCATGGGGACCCATGTGTGTCATTTGAGTTACTCGGGCCCATGCCTTCCCGCAAGCGACGGAAAGACGCGGCAAGTTCGGTTCGGTCCCCCTGACTTGTGTCCTCTGGCACCCGCCCGGCCAGCCCCCGGCAGAATAGGGTGATCCATTGATTGCCCCCAGCCCAGTTTCTGTCTTTCCCTTGGACCTTGCTTGTAACCCAGGGGCTCCTGAACCTGTCTGCTGCGGTGCGCGCCTGTGCGCAAAGGCCACCAGCCGCTACTTGCAGCGAGGACGAAAGTTCACTGGCTTCTCAGAAAGGCCCTGTCCCTCACCTGCTGCTGCGTGGTCTGAGGGCTTCAGGGGGGACTCCGGGACTGGACTCGAACCCGTGCGCGCCAATGGCAAGGAGCCTGGTGCGCCGCCACTCTCGGGCTGCTCCGCAGCCACCATGTACCTGCAAGCGTGTCCAGCTGAACCCCACCTCAGACTCTGTAACCAAGGGCGTTCCCCCAAACTCCCCTCTCCACTGCCTCTGGGAAACACGCGGCCCTCGGATCGAATCCCCAGCACAGAGCGACTGCAGAGGCCTGTGGTGGCTTCCCGTGGCTTGGGGGCCCATCAAGCTCTCAGTGCTCAGAGCCCGGATTCAGTCTGAATGTGTAACTCTTTGCTTCTCATCCTCGCACATGATGCGTTCTCAGAAATCACTGAAGAAAGGGGCCACCTTCCAAATCCCAGGGTCTGCACCGACTTGGTGTCTCACTCTCTTCCCCGCCCCCTGACCCAGGCGTCTGAGCCCTCGGAGGAGAAGGACTGGCGGCGGGGAGGGGAGGCGCGCGGACCGGAGTGGGGGGCGGCCGCGGCCGAGGGGACCCGGGTGCGGCCCCCGAGTGGGCGCGCTCCCTACCTGCGCTGCGGCCGGCGGGTGGCGGAGCATCCTGAGCACGGAGGGAGGTGGCCGACTGCTCCGAGCCGAGGCATCCGCGCATTTATTCAAGCTCAAACGGAGCGACTGTTGACTTTAGCACACAAAGCAAAGATTTCACTGCCCGCTAGTTTAAAAATGAATATTTTACCAAGATATCGATCAGCGTTATAAAATTCAGTTAAGTACAATGGGATCCTGGCAAAAAAAAGAAGGGAGGTGGGAGGCAATATAATATCTGTGCAAATTTGCTGAAGTGTGACGTGGCATGGAAAGTTTACCCTCCTGGAATTCGGATCTAGAATGTTTTTTTCGGTTGTTTACTGACTTTGTTTATTCACAGATCACGGTTGCTTAAACCGGCGCGCGGAGAGCGCGCGGAAAAGGAAGAAGAGAAAGAGAGGGAGGAAAACAGAATCTCTACACCTTACAATACTTAAGAGTCCTGGCGACGGGCGGAGGGCGCAGTGCGAGCCGCATGCTGGGCGCCCGGGCTGGGGGAGGGGCGGAGGCGGGAGCGGAGTGTGAAAGGCACAAGAGGCACAGAAAAGCCTCCGAAAGCGCCGGGCTCCCCGACATCCTTCTTATGTATTCGGACAGAACTATATCTTATCGGCTGGGATCAGTGGAGGGGGGCTCGCTAAGTAGTTTAAAACGACCCTCGCACAATGAGCTTGCGATACGAAACATAGCAGGTTAGGGCAGCGCTTTCAGTCTCCATTGTCCCCCACTCGGCCCCCGGCCCTGCCTCTCGGCTCCTTCGCCACGGGAGCCTTTTATGTGATAATGAAACACATTTCAGGCCGGGCTCGCGACGTGTGTGTCCTTGCCGGGCGGAGGGACGGCCCTGATTGCTGGCTGTGGCCTCCGGATCCCCTCCCCCTCCCCAATTTCTCGTCCTTGTGTTCTGCGGGACAATGTGGTATGTTAAAAAGGGATTTGGAGGCAGGGGCGGAGGCGAGGGCAAACCCCCTCAAGCGCGTGGGAAGGCCAGGGTTTGAGGGGGCTAAGACCCCCACAGGTGGCGGAGGGCGAATGAAGGGGCGGTCTTCAGGGTTGGGGCGAAGCTGGAACCCTCTAGGTTTGTACAGTCGAGAAGTCAAAAAAAAAAAAAAAAAAGAGTCCCGAAAACAGGGGCCTGGGCTTAGAAACCTGACGCAGAGAGTCCAGGTCTTAAAAGCCTGCGGGGAGTTCTCACCCGCAAGCGGGCAGGTGTGCGGTGCGGAGCGCGGGATGGCCCCAAGTCTGCGGGCCGAGACCACGAGACTCCTGCCCTCGCCCAGCTAGCTTGCAGGCCATCAAATGTCCCAGGCAAAGTCAAAGCCGGCCCCCTTTGCGCCCAGGGTCAGGCTTCACCTCTGGGCTTTCCATTTTGGTTGGCCGCCAGATTCCGCGGCTAGGCTGTCTGCTGGGAGAGAGCACTATTTGTAAGAATTTATTCTAGGTCTTCTTTATACTTTGGATTTTCCTTTAAAGTTTACAAAATACTCTCATTCCCTTGGCCCTGCAATCCTGACTTGCCAACATAGGCTAACAGAGCTCTGTGGGAGGGTGTTCGGTTTCAGGATAGGGAGGCGGCCAATTTGCAAGCTCTGGGGTACCGCCACTGGCCCCAGTCACTTTGCAAGCCCCACAAGAGACCCCATGCGTCTTCCTCATCCCCAAATATACCTTATTTTTAAAAGATTCGAATCATCACCCTGAGTGATCCCTTTAAAACCAATTCCAGGAGAAAGTTGCCTGTTTCTCCAGACCTGGGCAGGACGGGGTGTACCTAGAAGCCTCACTACTTCTGGGCTTCACCTAGATCCTCCAAGGTTGTGCAGCACACCAAGCGCAGGAGGTGAATGGGGTAGAGTGGTGGAGTGTAGACAGAAGCCTGAAGCTGTAGAATCCAGGCAGACTTCCAATTCCAGAGAGGGGAAAAGAGGGCACCAGGAATTTGCAGATCCAATCTGGACCTACTAACTGAAAGGGAGGCTTAAGAAATATTTCTGGAAAGACAGAAAACAATGTAAGATCCAGGCTTCTCCCCAGAGACACTAGCCCTAAAGCCCAAGGGACATCAGCAGCATTGCACCTTCAAGTGGCCCAGGTGGAAAATTAAAATACATGGTTTTCTCCAAACTTCAAAGATAAACCTGCATCAAACCCACTGAATGGTCCATCTGGGATCTGTGTTATTTCCTAGTGTGTAAATATAAACTCAAAATTCAAAAATTAACCACAGACAACATTGAGTTTAACTTACTGACATGCTTGCTTAAGTGTTTAGAGGAGGGTGCACTGATGTCTGAAATTTACTTTGAAATGCATTTAAGAAAATAAGATGAATTGACCAATGGAGGTGTAAATAGATGGACAGATATACAACATAACAAGTACAGTGAAATGATAACTGCAGGATCTGGGCAATGGGGATTATGTGTGTTTTCCATAAAATTCATTCAACTTCAGTATGCCTGAAAATTTTAATAAAACGTTGGTAGAACAGCGACCACCATACTCCCTCCTACTGAAAAAGAAAAAACCTGCAACCGCTAGGCTCTTCCTCCCTCCACTTGTAAATAATTTCTAAACCTGTTTATTTTTTAAGTCAGGCAAAAGCAAAAACAATTTTGAAGAGTCTAAAGATAAAACCGGCAATAACACTTTAATATAGATTTGTGGAATTCTGGTCCTTGCAGCCAGAACACACATTTATAAGCCATAAATAAAGCACACAGAAACCATAAATTAATCAGACCCAAGAGCTGGATTTCACCGTGTCAAGAATGGGAATGCATTTTTTTTCTTTCTCTTGGTCATTTACAACAGACCCTTACATCAATTTTTTCTTTTTAAACAATAGTACAACTCTGTTTCTCTGTTAAAACTACATGGTTTTACACTGAGTCACTCACAAAAGTTTGTGGCTTTTTTTGTTTTGACTTTTTTTTTTGTTTTCGCTCCTTTTTAATAAAGTAAGACTTCCCTGTAACAACAGAAATGGAGAACAACAACAACAAAAACAGATTTCTCAGATGCTTAAAGAAGCAGGTGTCTACACTGCAGTGGAAAACGGAGGCTTGTCACTTTTTCTCCCGTTTTTGACTGTCTTTCCCCCCTTTCCCTCCTAACGTAGAACAACAGGTATCAGTGGCGCCCGTTTGTTTGGGCGGGCGGAGCCGCAGAGAGCTAGGGAGACCGCTGTCCTGGGGGCGGGGTAAGGGATTTCTTCTCCCGGTAAACTCTCCAGCCCACTTCCTCTGCCGTCCCTGTCCAGGGCCCCAAGGCCGCAGCGCCTTAGGAGGAGTTCATGATGGGCCGGGAGTACACGCCCTGGTAGTAGGAGGTGTCTGCGGCCAGGGGCGAGGCGTCCAGGCCCCCTTTGTTCGTGACCGGACCCATGGCAAGGCTCCCTGCCATGGGGGAGCCGTAGCCGGGGTAGTGCATCACCTGTTCATAGGCCTTGAGGTCCATTTTGTGGGGCTGGTGGTGGTGGGAGTGGTGCTGTTGTTCCGAAGACATGAGGTTGTTGATGGAGAACGGGTGGTTGAAGGCGTAGTGGTGCTCGGGCTTGAGGTGGGCCTCCGGCGGCAGGCCCGGGTGATGCGGCGCGCCCAGCAGGTGGGCCGCGGCCTGCTGCTGACGCCCGGGCGAGGGCGCTGGCTGCGGAGGGCTCAGAGCCGCGGCCGGCGTCCCCTTCAGGTCGCCCAGGCCCCCGCGCTTGTGCTCCTGGCACGGAGAGGCGCTTGAGTGCGGAGACTCGGTGCCTGCCGGAGGCTCGGAGCCCGGCCCGGCGGCCTCCCCGAGCGGACCCTGAGCGGCCTGGGCCCCGGCGGCCGCCTTCTTGCCGCCGCCCGTGGCTTCCTTCAGGGCCAGTTGCTTCTCGCACTTGAAGCGCTTCTGGCGGCGCAAGTAGCAGCCGTTCTCGAACATGTTGCCTGAGTCGGGGTGCAGGGTCCAGAAGGAGCCCTTTCCGGGCTTGTCGGGTGAGCGCGGCACCTTGAGGAAACAGTCGTTGAAGGAGAGCGAGTGGCGAATAGAGTTCTGCCAACGCTGCTGGTTCTGTCGGTAGAAGGGGAAGAGGTCCATGATCCACTGGTAGATCTCGCTCAGCGTCAGCATCTTGTTGGGGCTCTGCTGGATGGCCATGGTAATGAGCGAGATGTAGGAGTAGGGAGGCTTGGCGTGTGTGTAGCTGCGCCGGTACGTCTTGGGGTCGCGTGCGCGACTCAGGCCCGCCTGCCCATACATGGGGCTCATGGAGTTCATGTTAGCGTAGGGGGCCAGGCCGCCCATGGCCCCGGCCGCCTGCCCCCCCAACGGGCTTAGGCTCGGACTCAGGTGGGGCCCCATGCCCGCCACGCCAGCAGCCCCAGCCGAGCCGCCCATGCTTGCCATGGCGCCCGCCCCGGGGGACATGCCGGCCAGGGACGGGCTCATGCCCGCGCCCACGTACGAGGACATGTTCATGGAGCCGGCGCTCATGTTTCCCGAACCGCTGCCCATGGCGGCCGCCGACATGCTCATGTACGTGTTCATGCCGTTCATCCCCAGGCCGGCGTTCATGTTGCTCACCGAGGAGTAGCCCTGCGGACAGAGCCCGGGGAGGGAGGCGCACAGCGTTAGCACCGCGGCGTGAGCGCGCCATGACCACCCACCCACCGGACCAGCCCAGGCCCCCTCCTTCCGGGAGGCCTCTGGGGTGTCTTTCCCTCGCCAGTCCCCAGCCGGGACACCAAGTCTGTTTCACCCAGAGCGCGCCGCGATCGCCCTTAGGGAGGCTCTGTGCATGCAGCCGGTTCCTAGCTCTTCTGCGCTTCGCTCAGATTCTAAAACAGGGGTCCCTTGGAGCACTACCAAGCCAGGAACCCAAAATGCATCTCTCCTCCCCAGAATACTGATTTGGCGCTACGGCCTCGCACGCCACTTTTGACCCTATGAGTAACTTGTGGGGACATCGCGCAGGGTGCCTCGGGTGGCCTCAAGCAGACATTGTCCCAGGGTTCTCTGTGTTCAGCCTTCCTCCCGGGACCACATCCTTGGCCCCAGGGGAACCGAAACGCGGTGCCTGCGTGGAGCCTGGGGCCAGCCGCTGGCACTGAATGGAGAAATAGGAAGGGAACCGCGAACGAAACTACACGCGGATGGGCTTTGCAGCCACAAACTTTATCTTTGTCCCCTTGTCTTTGTGCCTCTACCTCAGCCCCCAACTTCCACCTTCTGCTCTCCAGCTCCCCACCCCCTCGCCGGCCGACCTCTCACCCCTCCCCAGCCGCGCGCTGCCAAACAGAACTCTGTTAGGATAGTGCGTGGCGCGGCCACGAAGAGGATTTGGAGGCGCCGCAAGTCAATATTTGATCACAAAGTTAATATTATCTCAAGGCTAACAGTGTGTCGTATAAAAAAGAGACCCATTTCAGTCGAAGGAGGGTGGAAAAGGCGGCTGCTCAGAGCGGCTAGCGGTGGGAGGCGGGTGCAGGCGAGGGAAGCGGTCCTGAGGTTGGGAAAAGAGCGAACGCACCCACCCCATTTCTGTAAAGGGCGAGTGCCTACCTCCGGCTCGGCGTAGTAGGTGCTCCAGTCGGACGGCTCGTGCCCTTCCATCTTCACTGCTCCCAGCATACTGGAAGCCGAGTGCATGGCAGTTTAAAATTTAACAGCCACAACAAACGACCAGCAATCACCCCCACCCCCACCCTCTTAAAAAAAAAGTCAGCCCAGGCTCGGTCCCCTCCCTCCCTCTCTCGCGCTCCCTCTCCCTGGGCTTCACTCCCTCTCTCTCCCTCGGCCGGCCGGAGGCGGTAGTTGGAAATGGGCGGGAGAGGCGAGGCGCGGGAGGAGGGGGCCCAGGATGGGAGGAGGCCCAGAGCCGAGCCGGAGTGCAGAGAGCGCCGGCCGCCCGCCGCCGCCGCCCGCCGCCGCCGCGCTCGCGGGCTGCCGGGTGGAGGCCGAAGTTGGCAGTGCCGAGCTGCCCAGAGGCGGCGGGAAGCGAGCGGCACGGGGGCGGGTGGGGGGGTGGAGAGAAGAAGGAG